AAAATAAAAAATATAAATATATTTTAAAAAAAATTAAATTTATAAAACATAAATAATATCATGTTAAAAAAAAAACATAAATAATATAAAAATATTAAAGTAATTGCGAATCTCAGAAATGTGCTCTTAATGTGATGAATATTCCCACTCCCACCCCTAAATTTCCAATGTGAACGAAGAAATGGGAAAAACAAAATTTCTACGCAGGTGTTAGGCAGAAAAAATTGTCAAGTGGACAGTTTACCGGTGAGAAGAGAATGAGTGGCTAGCAGTGGTGCAAGCTTCCCCCAAGCAACAAGCAGCCTCCATTGCACTCTCAGTCTTTCTTCTCTTTACCTTTCTCCCACCTTCCTTTTCCTCCTGCTTCTCCTTATTTCCCTTCTCCAGTCCAACAGTCCCTTAATGGCTTTGTCATTGAATTCCTTTCTCCCTCACACTCACCACTCTTCTCTCTTAAAGCCCCTGTCCTCTTCAAAACCCACACCAATCTTTCTCTCAAAATACCCACTTTTTAGCTTTAACCATGTGCTCCCTAAAAGCAATTACACAAGATGCCATGCGGTGACAGATATAGGGAATTTTGCTTCTTCTTCACCTTCACTTGATCAAGAAGGGGAGGATCATAAGGTTCTTTTAGGTCCTTCTACTGAGCAGGAAAGGAAGGGGGAAAGGGTTGTGGCTGACTATGATTGGACTGAGGAATGGTACCCACTCTACCTCACCAAGGATTTACCAGATGATGCTCCTCTTGGTCTCACAATCTTTGATCAGCAGGTTGTGTTGTATAAAGATGGCAATGGTGTGCTTCACTGTTATCAAGATCGATGCCCTCACAGGTAACCTTATCATCCCTTGAATTGATCGAGTTTTTTAACTTTTCTTTGTTATGGGAGTAGAGAAGATTTGATCTTTGGAAAGGAGCATGACTAGGAAGTAGGAAAATGGGAACTTTTTTCTGTTTTTGATTCTAAGAATCCGTTCAGAATTGTAGGAAAAGATCTAATAATATTTTGCTATTGGGAAAAAAAACTTATATAGGAATTTCTATATGTGATCTTTATGTTAAATTATGCTATCAAATGATAAGATTTACAATGCTAAACACAGCACTGTAAGCGTACATGTGATTATATGGTCGACTCTTTTATTCAGTGCCCATACTATATGCATCTATCCATTTAAGAACACATGATTGGAAGCTTACAATCTTAAATGACCTTAAACTTGACTGTGATCTCTACCGGAGTTAAGGTTAGCCAAACTATCCGAAGGTCAGTTGGTAGATGGAAGGCTTGAATGTCTTTACCATGGGTGGCAATTCGATGGCGAGGGGAAGTGTGTTAGGATACCTCAGGTCTGTGATTATTTAACTTGTTCCAGGGTTTTGTTTCATGATATATACACCTTCTGCATTGTCTTCAGTGTTCTAATCCTTTATGTCCATGAATCTTTTAACTACAGCTTCCAGCTGATGCCAAAATTCCTCGAACAGCTTGTACTAAAACATATGAGGTGAGGGAGTCCCAGGGAGTTGTATGGGTGTGGATGTCACAGAGGACACCACCAAATCATAATAAACTACCTTGGTTTGAGAACTTTGCAAGGCCTGGGTTTCAAGATACCTCAACCACTCATGAGCTTCCATATGATCATTCCATTCTCCTTGAGAACCTCATGGATCCAGCGCATATCCCAATCTCACACGATAGGACTGACTGGACTGCCAAAAGGGAAGATGCACAGCCTCTTTTGTTTGAGGTGACAGAAAGAACAGATCGGGGATTTGCAGGCTGGTGGGGTAGAGAGAAAGATGGATCCATGCCAAACTTCTTACGCTTTGAAGCACCATGTGTTCTTCAGAATAACAGGGAGATCATTGACAAAAATGGAGAGAAACACTATTTCACAGGTCTCTTCCTCTGTAGGCCAACTGGACAAGGAAAATCTATGCTCATTGTGAGATTTGGAGGAACACTAAGATCCCCCTTAGTGAAGTTCTTCCCCGAATGGTATTTCCATCAGAATGCAAGCAAGGTTTTTGAGCAAGATATGGGATTCCTTTCATCCCAGAATGAGGTTTTAGTGAAGGAAAAGGTTCCAACAAAAGAGTTGTACCTTAATCTGAGGTCCTCAGACACTTGGGTTGCTGAGTACAGGAAGTGGATGGACAAAGTTGGACATGGAATGCCTTATCATTTTGGGCACAGCACCATTTCTCTGCCTAAACTACCTGCTGTGGTAGAACATGCACCAGCTGGACTTGTTGCAGGGGTTTCAGCATCATTCCCAGCCAAAGGAGGGATTGGAATGATGCATGCTCCAAATTTGGCTAACCGATATTATCGCCATGTAATCCATTGCAAAGGTTGCAGCAGTGTCGTCAAAAGTTTCCGTGCATGGAAAAATGCCCTCAGTGCAATTGCCCTTGTGTTGACTGCCTTGGCTATCTTAGCATCTGGAAGACAGTGGAAGACCTTTCTATTGGCATCAGCAACCTTGTGCTTGGCTGGGGTCTATGCATGCTCGACTGCGATTGCAATAAACACAACAAACTTCATACGAACACACCGAAGATTATGAACTTGTAAGTTATACCTCATTTCCTCTTGTTTCAAATTGTCAAGAACTCGAATTCCATGGCAGATGTAGTGTATTTTAAACATCAAGGTTCTTATAATGCAAAAACCAAGTATCACCTTATTTTTACCTTCCAAATGTGATTATTAGGATGATATGGATATCCTCGTGGCATTTTTTGCTTCAATCTCCTTGTAGTTTTATCTTATTGTTAGAGGGTTTTCAGAATGTGCAACTATTTGTCTCCCCTGTTCAAATTCAGAAACGAAGATGTCGGCATATAGCTGCAACTGTAGCCTACTTCGTAACCAACGAAGGGGAAAAAATCGTAGAAAAGATGAACCATCTTCGTCAATAAAAACTTGATTGTAACTCAAGTCACAAAATTTGAGAAATTTACAGGCAATAACTCTCGGATACAATCTGCTCAATGCATGTTACTGGATTCAGCGGTATCATGTGACTGTACTAATGTATACCATTGGCAACTGGGTAGAACCAGACGAAATCTCCAGAATCCTTGGTAACCCAGTGTTGATATCAACGGTTGAGCTTGCATTCTCACTCTGGGACACCATGTCTGATTCAACTTCATCAATTGTCTATAACCCAAGCAGATAAAAGTCAGTTGAAAGATACAATATGAAAACTTATTGCCCCTTTTGAGGATGTAGTGAAATTGAAGAAATTAAATGGTAAAGCTCCGTAAAATCTACGACTTCACTAACCTGAACAGTTTGTTGCAAAACAAGGAACATTTCTCTAGCACGTTTTCTCTTTGCAGCAACCTCATCTTGCTCCTGCAACAGCACTTCGAAGAGGTCCTGCCTGCAATTTTCACAATAAAGCATTTTAAGATTTACAAAGCATCAATTGTTTTTCATGAAATGTAAATGGTTTCAGATCACTTATTTCCAAGTAATTGTAAAGTTCAAAAATAGCTGTTCTCTGCCAACAGGATGCTTGCATTTTTTTAGAACCCATAGATATACCTGTATAATTTCTGTATAAAAGTGTTATGGAGGCTCGTTTTTGCAGGATTGACCTGGCAAATGGATAAAATGGAAAATAAAGTTTAGGCCAATTAGGAAGTTATCCACGTTGTATAAAAAATAACTAAACGAACAAAATATATAGTACTGTACCAGAAAGTGCATGATAGCCTTTGGAACCAAGTCTTCAATGTTTTTGCGGACAACGTCGAAGTAGGATTGCAAGAGTATTTTGGTTGCAACCATTTCCACTGTTTCATTCTCCGTTATTTCAGGAGGCCTCAAAATGGATGGAGGCTGTAATTATCAAAGGTAGGAACAGAAATAGTAAAGTTAAAATGTAAAGAGAAACCACTATCTGGACAGAAAAGTACATCTCTTGAAGCAGTTAAAACACCTCCATTAGTTGGACTGTTGCTGGTGTCCTCTGAACATCATGAGGGGTTTCTCCAGGAGATTTGTCCAATTGACTCTCATCAGATGATGCCTTGCTTCCAAAAATTGATGGAATTCCCCAAGTTCTTGCAGATGAACTACTACCTAAATTGCATATACCCAAAGTGACGCCTATGTAGTGAAAAAGTCTCACAAACTGCCTATACTATGGTCATATCATACAAACACATCATAGACATGCCAACAAGGTTCAGTAAGTGTAAACTTTTAATTGTTTCAGTGATTGTACTTGTTCAGTACATAAAGGACATTGGTAACTAAATTTTCAGTTTACTAAAAGTGGGTAGGAAATTGGAAACCAACAGACTTTTTATCTACCATACTTTCTGTCAAGTGCAAAATCTTCATGATTTGGTGTAATTTTCATTTTTAGCTCTTCTCAACTCCATTCACATAAAGAACATATACATACATATATATGAAAAATAAAAAGAAAAATTAATTGCCCATTACTAATTATAGGTGATCATTCTCTTGGTTAAAGATAAGTAAATAAACAAAATAAAAGAACTTAGAAATTATCTGAGACAAGAGTTTACCAGCTGATTTAGGTCTATCATTATTTGAGTGAGAATGATTTCCCTGCCAAAAGTCCCAGAATAGACTGAATTACTTAATATTTAGATGCTTGATGGTCAGCATGATACCAGTGAGAACAAAATGTCCACTATCTCAAAATTATTTGTTATCTCTTCTTCATTCCTTCTCTTTTGGTTTCTTAGGATAATTGCTTGGTAAAATTAACGCGCACACAAAGATGAGAATGGTAGAAGGGTCTAAAACATAATGCATGGTAGCAATTGCAAACATAATCTAATTTGTTAAAAACTTGAAATATAATGCTCTTGAACTTATTATAGGAAAACTTTGTGAATGCTGAATTGCTGATTTATCTTCTTTTTCAAAATGAAGTTTAGTTGTATTAACCAAAAATCATTATGATTTAAAGTAAGAACCAATACGTGGTTAGGAACAGAATTCACAACCGATCTACCACGACCAGTCCAAGATTTTTGGCCCTTCTCAGTTGTAGGTACCCTTTCAACATCCTTATTCTCCTGAATGAAAAAGTACATGCAATAAATCTTACTTAAATCTGCATAACCCCTACACTTTGGTAGGACAGGCAATTCATAAATTATACAAGTTCCAATCTGTTTTTCAATATTGATAAACTATAAAATTTAAATTTAAATTCTGATTAATTTTACTCTATCTTTTAGATTAATGATCATATCTTATTCTGGACAAGCTTTAGATCCAAAAAGCTAATGAAATGCTGCCCAATACCTGTGATGATTTTATCTGATGCATGGCAAGCTCAACAGCTTTACTCCCACTTATAAATTGTGGATGTGAAGAATTTATATAACCCATCTGAAATTTGCAAGAACTCAAAGAATGTTAAAATTTCACAATCATAGGTAACAAATTACATCTAGTCTGGAAAAATGACAAAAGGAAATTTATAACAAATTTAGTTTTATAATTTATAACAAGTTTGAGCATTTAAACTAATCTTACATTTTCTATCTCATATCATTATGAAACACAAACCTGCACATGATATGAGATTGTGGTTCATACATTGAAGAGCTTCTGCTTACGATCTAATACTAGTTTTAGTTATTAGATAAAGAAATGAGAAAAAGACATCAATCACCTCCATCTCAATCAGGTTCTCTATCATTCTCTCAGCAGGCCTAACAGCATCACGTAAGAACTTCCCAGCAACTTCCTTTAAATGCTTTTGTAAAAATGGAAACCTCTGCAAGTCAGTTGACTCACAAGTACGACTCATCTGCAGGGAATATTTTTCTTTTTCATATCCATGTCTTGAAGCTCATAATAAGAAGATAAAATTCAAAGCACAGTTTATTACTCTGGCAGTTTACTTACCTTTATCAGTTCATCATAAACAAATTGGAGACACTGAAGACAAGGGTCTAACAATTGAGAAATTTGTCTTCTAACCAAGACTTCAAATGGAACCTGAAACCCAAAAAATAATAATAATCGAATAAAAATAAAAAAAATTAAAAAATTAAAAAATTAGTCTTGAAGCCTACATATGAAAAGATGAAAACAACCACATATAACATTATTATTCATTGCACTCACTTCTGGCCCAAATATGGCACTTCTTGGACCAGTGGCATTTTGAATGGCAATTTGAATATCCTCACCAGTTAGATCTTCACAAGGATCTATATCCTACAAGTGGTAACAGACAGTTAATAGGCAGTGGAAAACAAGGACTGATCTCCTTTCTATATCCAAGAATTCCTCCTGGTTATCAATATCAAGGACTAAAAAAAGCACACAATATTTCCATTTTCAACAGTTTTTTTCTTTCTCTTAAGGCTGCTTCCAGACATTTTTTTACAGATGCTCAAATAAGAAAAATATTAGAAACCCATTTCTGATCCTAATTTTCAGAAAATGTAGCTTAGAAAATTAAAAATGAAACCATGCAAGCCTTTACAGGTTAGTCAAACTGATTTTCTTTGGCTAATAAGGCAGTAAACAAGGATTCAGTATCACTAGTGCAGAAAGCAATTTTTGGCATTTTCAAAAGACAAAAATAAGAGAGTAACATAAATGCACTAAAAAATTGTGTTCATTTAAAAGCTATATGCCTCAGGTTTCATAAGAAGTATGTCAATTACATGAGGTTCATGTCAAAATCAAACAGTACCTCCAATGTCTTCACAAATATTGACTGAAAAATATAGTGGATCCTAGCTCCCCCATACAACTGTGAAGTCAATATTTCCTGACCTTTTCCATCCACCATAGCAGAAAAATCTGTCAAACAATAAGAAGGAAACAGGAAGGAGAAATCAGAAACATCAGAAGAAATGGAGGGAAGAAAGCAGTAGGTAACAAAGTTGAACCAAAGAGATAGGAAAATAAGTTAGAGATTACAAATTTGAGTGAAGTAAAGAACAGCAATCATACAAACCAATAATAAGATGAGTGAGACAGAGCTCTGAGAATTGAGATGTATCAATTAATCAAGAACAGAATAAAATGACCAAAATAATAATCAATCATCAAAAAGACACTCAGTTCACCCTCTCCCTCCTCCCACTTTGAGTCCTCACCCCTTGCAAACAGAAGAAAGGGGAAAGAACCCTTGTAGCATCTTTAGACAATATCAGTCAAGATCAGGAGTATGGCAGGCTATACAGAAACTGGTGGGAGATACATGAATAGGATAAGACCAAAAGGATTGATGAGAATTACATATGCTAAATGAAAATCTTAGACAGCAAAACTAGTGATAACCCACTCATAAAGAGAAAAGAAACATTTCCAGGAGACTATTAGAAAAATACAATATATAGAAAAGAACCTCAAAAGCTTCTTTACTGGGAAAAAGAGATACCTTCACAGTATCTTTTAATAATGTTCAATAGCATCATTCCTTGTTCTGCCTGGATAAGAGCACGAGATCAACATGTAGAGAGAATATCCATAACAAAGTGAAACTTTCAAAAAGGAAAATGTTAGCTCCATCCCATAAACATGCTTTTCTGTATATCTGTGATCACAAATTAAAGCATATGTGCATGTATAATTAAAACAAGAAGCAAATAGCTCCAAGTGGAAAGAATTGTTGTTTAGATCCCCAAGGTCAGTGCCATCAGATACAATTGCAAACATCATACTCAAATAATACTGGGACCAAAATGATCACTTTGGTCTTAAAACATACTCAAACATCATGAAAGAAAAGGTTAATGAATTTTTTTTTTTTCTTTTCAGGAATAAGGGTAATCAGAAAGAAAGAGCCGCTTGCACATCACATGTCTTAAAAACTTTTATCAGTATTCCCACTTTTAATCTGCTAGAAAAATACAAATGGCGAGTTTTCATTCATTGCAAAATCCCAAAGAAACATCACCACAAAACGAACTTAATGCATCTAACTTACTATTATTAATTATGCTACCTGATATTCTGAAATCAGAACTGTATTTTATCCAAGACCATTTGAGTACATCATACACAACAGCAGAACCATACAGAGAGACAACTTCTCTGAAGATCAGTCAAACCTACCAAACAATCAAACAACCAGAAAATATTAACTCATAATTTATAAAGGCGAACTTACTTCAGATTGCACAACTTCACCATACACCTTCAGATCTCTTGCAACTAATGCCATATATGAATTTAGCTCAGCCTTCAAACTCGGGAGGGCTGTTCTGATATGCTGCTCCAGGATCTGGAGAGAGACAAATAGATGCAACCAAGAATGAAGAGTGTAAGAAGTCAAATGGAAACAGAAGAAATAATTGCTTCAGCAGCTGAAAATTACATTATCTCTTATTATTTTCCCCATTGGATATTCCATATGCTCACCAACATATTTTCAATTCTAAAATGAAATTTTTTTAGCTATAAAAGTTCTCAACAAGTTTCAAAGGAAAGTAAACCAAAAGATCGAGCATTTTAACCTAAAGAGGCAGAATTTAGAAAATAGTTGGGCTAAAGGATATTGTAACCACCCTGCCTTTTTCTAAATTAACTGCTAAATTTGTTAAGCATAACCAATATAAAATTATAAATATAAATGTTTCCCATAAAATATATATATATATATATAAATGTTAACATGCAACTTATTCAACAAAATAAATTATTCAACTCTAGAAGTGTCAGGTGAAATGATTAACAAAATACATACAATATTGATATGGGAAGAAGAGAGGCTATAAACTGACCTGATTCAGCTTCTTTGCTAATTGGGGAATACCACATCGGTCTGAGAGACCATTATACACCTGCAATATGCATGCATCAAGGACGTACGAAGTTTTCAGATTACTTGCAAAACAGAGGGACTAACGAAATACAAAAACATAATTTGAGGAATTAAAAGTACAGGATGATCACGGAAGAACTGCTCCTCATATGCAAGTGCTTCTTGAATGCCTCGCTCTTTATTGATATCCTGTAACAGACAAATGAAATTAGATAGTGTCTCAAATCATAATTCTTACAACTACAAGTTTGCAAACAAGGGCAAAAAGGTAGAATCAGCAGATAATGATGATAGAAAAAAGGGTATCAACTACAAAGACAAATATGGACATGCACACACATACATTCAATAATGTAGTACAAAAAATTACAATCAATAGTAACTCTTGATCATTATACCTCCTGACTGCGATTGACAACACCAACATAACCAAGTCTAAGTGGAACAACTTTTCCAAGCAGAAAGTTACAGGCATTAGTACCCCTGTCCATAATATCAAGCTGCAGAGAAAGACTGTCATGTAACATCATCACAATATCAAGATGGAAAATGTTTTAAAGAATGAAGAAGATTTCTCTGTTGGATTAGAATAACACAAACCTTGGTGATTACACCAATCGTCCGAGAACCTGTTCATAAATGTATGTCAGTCTATCACTCCAGCAGTGTACCAAAAGTGAAGAAATAGATAGACCCACACTCCATTCATGAATACAGAGCTATAAACATGCAAACTAACTTACTTATAGAAAAAGGGCAGATACAAACACATCCATACATTAACACATGCATGCAACCATAAATTTTACACCTACCAGTTGGGTCAGCCTCTTTTGCTATCTGCAGTGCATCAGAAGTAGCCAAATCAGAATTTGCAGGACTAACTGCCAATATGATACAGTTTTCTTGCGTGATATGGGACATTATCATTCTCCTAATTCTAGCTTCTATATCACTGGGTTGATCCCCCACAGGAACCTTAGTAATGCCAGGTAAGTCAACAAGGGTCATGTTAAGGACATTTGGGGAAGATATTTTTAACCGAATATGTTTATCTGAAACCCCTTTGTTAAAACCTGCTTCTTTTTCAGTCTCAGCCTGCACCAACCCAAAAAAGAACCTCAATTTCTTGGCGAATGTAACTTCGATAGCTGCTTTATTTCCCTAATTGGAGTTTAGTATATGAAACAAACCTGAATTTCTTTGCGAATTTTGGAAAAATCATGGAACCGCCTCCCCGGCAAGTGGCGGAACTCACCCCACTCCCTCCCATCATCCTCCGGCGTCCGAGCCCTGTTCTCCAGCATCAAAACCAAGGGTCTCCGAGTACAAATATCACATCCACGGGGCAGGAAGTCACGGCCGACCAACGCCTCGAGCACACTTGACTTGCCACTGCTCTGGCTCCCGACGACCACCACCTGCGGCAGGGATATCTTCGACAATTCGCCACCTACTGTAGCGAGAATGTCTTGCAGCTTGTTGATAACCGGAATCACCGACGCTCCGATCGTTACATTTGCACGGATATCCTCACCCATTGACCAGAAGTAGGAAATACGCAAGCTTCTTGCGTTAGATTCTGAAGAAGAAAAAGAAAACAGATAAATCGTTAAACCTAGGAAGTAGGGTTTATACACACGACAAGACTAAAGTAGAGATTCTTGGGGAGGAAGAAAGGTGAAAAGAGGAGAGAAAGTGGAAAATATCCGACCGTCCGGCACGGAGGTTGCCGGAGTGGTCCACGTCAGACCCGTTTCAGGACCCGCCCCCAATTTCCTAAAACGACGTGTATTGTAAGCGAACAGTAACAAATGTGGAAAAAATCCTCACTCCCCCCAAATTGAATAATGTTAAAAAAAAAGTGATATTATAATTATATTATTTTGATTTTTTTTTAAAAAGGACATTCTTTATCCCTTCTTCGAATAATTTATATTTTACCGTTTACAATTTTGGTAATTTGAACTATAAAATGCTTTTTAATAAAAAAATATTACCATAGTTACATAAAAATTTTGAGTAATCTCTTATTGTTGATGTTAAAACATCCCTAACCAAATATATAATTTGGCAAAAAATGAAGCTTATCTTTCATTTATATGGCAACAAGTTCCATTCATTGAAAACAGAAAGATTTGATTACAATGGCTTCCCAATTCATTGTATCATTGGGCCAAAGAAAATTTGTTCATATCGACAAAGCACTACAGATTTTTTAGGTTCTTACATTCTTCTCCGGATGAAATCTATCCACTACAAAGGAATAGATGATCCTAAATTATAGCACTACAAAAATTTAAGTCATGTATGGAATATTAGAACTTAAGCCATTTCTTCTCTTTTTCTCTGCTGGTGACTGCATTTGATGCAGATGCCTGAGCAGCCTCTGCTTCTGCCAATGTATTCCGGGTCTCATTCAACTTCCTCATGGCAGCCTCATAAACCACTTTTTCCTTCCTGTTTCTGTTCGCCATTTCCTCAAGCTTCACAACTCGCATTCTCAGTTCCGTCACCTCATTATCATATGCGACCAGTGCCCGCCTGTCTACTTTCTTCTCTCCTGAATTTTTATTTTGCTGTTTCACTGCTGATCCACCATTCAAGGCCTCTCCATGCTTTGCTAGTTGGGAATTGATGAGACTAAAAACATCTGGTCTAGATTCCTCTTCATCTCTTGCAGCACGAGCTGCTTCTGCAAACTTTTTCTCACGCTTTCTCTTACCACCCCTGCTTCTTTTCTTCCCTATTTTCTCTTTATTTTCATCACCTTCATGAGACTGTAGGGCATGATCAAGAGATTGTTTAGCAGGAAGGACCTTAACAGAGATGGGGTCCAGTATTCCCTGGCCAGTTGCACCTAAACCCATCCCTTCCCGATAACCCATATTAGCCATCATCTTCGAAGCCATGCCCCTTGTGTGATTTTCCCACTTGGCAAAAATAGCAGTTTCAGTCTGGATGCCCTTCTGTAATGCAGAGCTTTCAAGAAAACCTAAACCTTGCAAGCTATCTTCTTCGTAGTCGCTAGAATCAGACTCTTCAGAGCTTAGATCACTTTCATCTTCATCACTCATTTGTGCATACTCAGATAGTGTCAGCGCTTCCATTCCAAGCTCAGTGGAGCTTCCATCATCTTGGAAAACTACCTTCCCTACTCTGAGATCATCATTCCACGACTCAAGTTCAGCTTGCTTCCAGATGCCAACTTTACTATCAGAGATTGCTAAAATACTGGAGCCAACCATTGATCGATGCCACACTGTTGGGATATACTTCTTCAGGGAGGATATTGGGACATCAACTCCTGTCCAAGAAACATATAACTATTAAGTGCAACAAACAAATGCAAGTAACTTTAAAGGAAAATTTTTTTTTTTTAAAATAAAATAAAATAAAAAGAAGCTAACAATCCCATAGATGTTACACTGATAGAACTACAACCAAATTTGCCAAAGCTTATGCTGCAACATTATAAGGATGAAGATAGATATCACAGATCTACGAAAAACATTGACTTGAAAATAATTCCAAAGACAAAACTAATTTACAACCACAATAATAGAAAAGAAAAGAATGTAACTAGGAGGTGTATCTAATTCCCTTATTTCACCTGAATAATGTTAACAAATTTCTTATTTTCCATCTAGAATGTACAATTTATACATAAGAGGGTTTTGTTATTTATTTCTTATTTTCCAGAATATATATAGGTTGGCTGGTCCTCCAGTTCATATCACATCACCCATAGCCTTGAGTGTAAGAATGATGCATAGATTAAAAAGGAATAAGAATTTCAGTGAATTTCAGTGAGTAGTGCCAGAGATGTAGCAGTCTAGTGGAATAGAGAAAACTGAAACATACCATGTGATAGGCGGCAATTAGTACCAAATCGACAACGTTGTTGCAGGAAGAACTTGCAAATCTGCACTAGGGTGGCCTAGATTAGTAACTGATTGACAAAACCAAACTTATTTCAGTTTGTAATATAAACCAATATACAATTCAGTGAAAGTTACAACAATCATAGCTTAACCAAGAATTGCTTCATGCCTTAGCAAAATCTTATCCAAGTCTCAGTTACCAGACAATTACAAACCAGCAAGGTTAGAGATAATCGAAAATGAAACAAATAACACAAGTAAGAGAAATGAAGAATATGAAACAACATATTTTCATCAAACAACCACTTATATAAGCATATGTCAAAGCCTAAAGAATAATTAAATAAATCTATCATAATAGAAATAAATAAAGGTCAACATTACAAAAACGAGTACTTCAATTGTGTATGGGATGGGGAAGATGCAAGAACCCAATTATAGCACATGGAAACCCCTCATATCTACTAGTTGAACAAAAACTATCCAACAGAGAAAGCCCTCAAGATTCACCAACTAGCTTAACTAAATTCAGACTTAATTCATCAATTAACAAAGTGAAGGACGGCTTCGATAACAATGTCGACATAAGTCTTGCAAAGAAGCTTCTCTAATCTTAGACAATTGAATGTCAGCTAACCTTATGGATGACATATTATCAATAACTTCATGCAAAACCTAAGAATCTCCTTTTCCTTCCTCGCTTATCTTATAAAAGCAATATCTACATACCAACATTTTCTCTGAGGTAGGAGTCAAGAAAGAAATCCTTGCAGAATCAGAACCTTCTGCTGCAACAACCTGCCCATTATACCACCGCCCATCCGTATACCGAAACCTACATTTCGAGCCAACAGGGTAGCTTTCCTCCTCCAATGGTTCTGGTTCAACGTCCGTCGGATCAATACGCTCGGACTTCACATCTTCGACGACCCGATTGGAACCTTGAAGCGCGGAATCAACTTCTCGAAGCAATCTCGCGCGCTTCAGGTGCAGAAGCCCTTCTTCTGCAAGTTTAATCGCTTGAACAAGCTCCTCATGGACCTAACACAATTATATAACGAAAATTAAAAGGAAATCATGCAAATTTATGGCGAAGGAAACAGCAAATTGAACGAGAGAGAATGAATTTTCAT